CCTGGGGAGGGGGCGGGGCCGCGCACTTCGGACTCCAGCCCGCAGAGCGCCCGCGGCCGAGCGCACCCAGCCGCCTGGTCTCGAGGGGAGCGAGCCATGACGGCGCTGCGCGGGCAGTGGCCCGAGGTGCGGGACACCTGCACCTCGCTGGGCTTGATGCTGGCGATCGTGCTGTCCGTGGCGCTGGCCCGCGTGGTCCTCCAGCGGCCGAGGCACAGGCCCACGGCGCACACCTTCGCCTTGGAGTTTTTGGCCACCTTCCAGCTCTGCTTCTGCACCCACGAGCTGCAACTGCTGAGCGAGCAGGAACCCGCGCACCCCACCTGGCCGCTGACGCTCATCTACTTCTTCTCCTTGGTGCACGGCCTGACCCTGGTGGGCACCTCCTGCAACCCGTGCGGCGTGATGATGCAGATGCTGCTGGGGGGCATGTCCCCCGAGATCGGGGCGGTGAGGCTGTTGGCGCAGCTGGTCGCTGCCCTGTGCAGCAGGTACTGTGTGGGCGCCCTGTGGGGCCTGGGACTGACCAGGTATCACGTCAGCGAGAGGAGCTTCGCCTGCAGGAACCCCATCCACGTCGACCTGCCCAAGGCCGTGGTCACCGAGGCCGTGTGCTCCTTTATCTTCCACAGCGCTTTGCTGCACTTCCAGGAGGTCCGAACCAAGCTCCGCATCCACCTGCTGGCGGCGCTCATCACCTTTTTGGTCTATGCAGGTTTGTTACTCCCACAAACACTTGGCACGTCCGGAGCTTCTCTGACCCGAGGCTCTAGGTGCTTTACCAAGGTATATCGGGAACCCCGCAACCTCTGGGGCGTCAATACTAGGATCCCCGTTACCCTAACCGTTGTGCGTCCCGTTCTTTACAGACAGGGCCGAAACAGACCCTCCATTCAGGGCCTTTTTTTGAACCCTCAGAAAAAGGAGCCACTTCTGTGCTGAAACTGAGAACCTGAGAGAGATGGCCAAGGGTTCAGATAGCCCACGGAGGGGTGTTTGAATGGTAGAGAGGAAGATAACTTACCAGCTACCTCTTTCCTCAAGCCACCCTGGTGCAGATCCTGACGCTCACTGAAAAGTGATCCTGGGCTTTAAAAGGTCCTTCCAATTTAAAGCGACATGATTGGTTAGTAGGGTAAGAGTGGCGAGTAGAAATTATGTAGTTCTATTTCCTCCTTCTTTTCCTGAAAAATTAGTTGGTCATTTATTTGCTTAATAATTCATCTTGAGTAATAAATGAACTTTGAAGTGACCGGTCAAGAAAGATGTTTTAAAATTAAAACTTGCTTGAAATTAAAGGTGCTTTTTAAAAACAACTCTTGAGAAATCTGATTTCTTGTAAACCATCTGTTTACCTTGACAGATCTTGGATGGGAAAACAAAAGTCTAATGATGGAATGTGTCGTTTTAAAAGATTACAACAAAATATCTTCATTGGGGCTGTATCTGAATTATAAAGTCTTGGAGGCAAGGGAATTTGTAGTTAAGAGTTTACCTTCTGCCCATTAAAAGTGAAACTATGAGAAGCAGCAAACCTTGAGATGGGGACTCCTACACGTATCCTGCCCTCCTGGGGTAAAAATGACTTTCCCATGTTTTCCTTTCTTCAGATCTAGTACCGTTCTTTTTGTAGACATAGATGGAAATACAAGGTATAGGCAAAAGGGCCGCACATATGCATATTTGAGGGGTTGGTGAATAGTTGCTTATTAAAGTTTTAGGTTTTGGCTAAAGCAGAAACATCCCCCATGTATGAACAGGATCATCCCTTGAAAAATGTTTTTCCACAGTTGAGGACGCTCAGAAGTCACCAAAATGGGGCACATCAAAATAATTATGTATTTTAAGACAGAACGTAACTGTCCAGCCGTGTAGCCACAGGCTCCTTGGAGAGCCAGTGACCAAGTGTCTGACTGTGTATTGATGTAGCAGCCTGCCCTTCGATGTGCAGACGGAGGCCACTGATGTCACTACCACTTCTGTACTTACTGGCTTCCCAAATAAAGTAGGGGGGGGAAGCTGTGTGATTTATTAACATGTTAGAGGTATGAAGTTACTAACGCAGACTTAAAGCAAATCTTCTTGAACTTAGGTATGGGAAATTTTAGCTCAATGAACAGTTAGCTCTTGCTGTGTAACAAACCACCCCCAATCTTAAAATGACAATTTTATATTATTTTTCATGATTCTGTAGGTTACATGGAAAATTCATCTGAGATCAGCTAGCTTGTCAGCTGGTGGGGCTGAAGAGTCAAGGTAGCCTCACTCAAGTGTCTGGCAGTTGGTGCCAAAGTGCCTGTTCTCCTTCCTGTGGCCTCTCATCCAGCAGTCAGACCAGCTTACTTGTATGGTCAGGGCAATGTTCTAAAAGCAAAAAGTGGAAGCTGATGGGTTCACTGGGACCTGAACCTAGAACTCACACAGCGTCTCTCATATTCGGAATTCACGTAGCATCACTTCTGCTGCATTCTCTGTCTACACAAGTCACAAGCCGGTCTACATTCAAGAGAGGAGAAACAGACTCTACCTCTTGGTAGGAGGGGAAGCTTCCATCAAGTCACACTGAGCAGAACTGGTGATGTGAGGATTCAAAGATAAAGGGAGTTTTAAGTTTTAGGATGGTACAAGACAGTGTTCATAGACATACTGAAAGTCTTTGCCTTTGGAATACCAAAGTAAACTATGAGGGCAATGGTTGTCTATTTTTATTGATAAATGCAAAAAAAAAACCACCACAGGTCACTTACTATATTATCACAGCACATATTACATTATATTGTAAAGATCGGTGGGAGTCCCTGTCTTTCTGCCCATGGTGTCTAGTACACAGGGACACAATAACTTTTTGTGGAGCTGAACTGAAATGATTACCTGCCAACCAAACAATTCTATTAGCCCTGGGCAGCTGCAGATTTAACATTCCAGGATTTGGCTGTTTGCCAATGATTCCGAAGGCCCGAGATATGATTTAATTTATAACTGCTGAGGCATGACTACAAATCATGCTATGAGGCCAGCATGCTACAAGAAAACTTAAGTGAACTTGGTTCATTGCTCAACATCTTCAATGTTTTCAGCCTATCAAGTGTGAAATCTGGGTAAAATTGGAAATTTCCAATTTTACTTTGCTGCATTTTATGAAGACAGTTAACATGCTATACTGATGTGTGTCAGTATAAAATCTGTGAAGATCTTGGGCTCTCTCTGTGTGGCTGAGTCAGGGGCAGATGTGTGTGCCCAAGCTTCCACATGGAAGAACCACCAGAAATGTCTCTCTCAGGGATAACCTTAGGGCCACAGCCCTGCTGAGTACTGTTGGGCACGCAGTCATCATCCTCTTTCTTTTCTTGCTGTGTAGCCAGAGCTATTAACTCCTAGGCCCCATGTCAGAGATACCCCAGATGTAGAGCTAGACCATGAATCCTGAAAAGTAGTCAACAGAATTTGTGCTTACCGTTCATGACTACTCAGTCACTTCTTGGTAAAAAAAATTTTGTAACCACTTTACTGAGGTATAATTTACATACCATTCAGTTACTTCTTCAGGGCTCTCTTGACAAGTAAAAATGGAGTCAGTGATAATGCTTTGATTCATTTTACTTTTTGTTTTCAACACAAAGGTATGCTAATACCCGAGAGGAACCTCAGGTATTGTATCTATTTTTAAATGTATTTTCATTTTATTTTTATTATTCATTCATTTAAACAGGTCAGGGTTAAGGGCAGCCAAATCTCCTGTTTTATAAAACCTTACAGGAACAATATAGCAGATTCACTCTGAATGTATATTTTACAATAATAGAAAAAACAATGGATTAACTCTCTTAATGTCCTTTTTTTTTTTTTTTTTTAATGTTTTTATTGATTTCAGGGAGGGGGAGGGAGAGGGAAAGATAGAAATATCAATGACCAGGCATGTGCTCTGACCAGGAATCAAACGTGCAACTCAACCAGCAACCTCCTGGTGCATGGGACGCCGCCTAACTGAGCCACACCGGCCAGGCTTAAAGTCCTGTCCTTTTTCCTGCACCTGGCATATTATAATCTATTTTTATACTCTATAATATGACCAGTGATTCTGCAAAGAAAGATCAGAAAATAAGAATACAGTTGGCTCCGGTATTTGGAACCCCACAGGTTCCGAATCCATGAATTCTGAATCCAGGGACTCAACCAACCATGGATCAAAAATATTCTTAAAAAAAGTTACGTTGTTGCTGAGATTACTATGTAGACAGGCCTATGATAACTGTGTCTGTACTGACTATGTACACACATTTTTTTCTTGGCATTGTTCCCTAAACAATAAACTATTTACACAGCACTTACGTTGTATTGGGTATTATAAGCAATCTTGAGGTGACTTAAAGTATACAGGAGGATGTATATATATATGTATGTTATATACAACTACTATGCCATTTTATATAAAGACTAGAACAATTATGGATTTTGGTATCTGCAGGGGGTTCTGGAACCAATGCCCCATGGATACCAAGGGATGACTGTATTTGATTACATAAAACAAAATAGTCACATTTAGTAATCCCCTTATTTTCAGTTACAAGAAAATGTAAGATAAATGGTTTGGTATCACTCTGCTTTAAATGTGTTACAGGAGGAAGTCTAACAGGAGCTATATTTAATCCAGCTTTGGCACTTTCACTGCATTTCAAGTGTTTTGATGAAGCATTCCTTCAATTTTTTATAGTATATTGGCTGGCTCCTTCTTTAGGTAAGCATATTTTTATTTAATATGATTGAAAGATTAGATTATCTTAAAATATGATATGGAATGTCACTGTAACATGTCAATTTCCAAAGCCAGAGTAGGCACAAAAAGGAAATGGAAAAGGTAGTTAATATGCCTGAAATAACACTTTATGTTGTGCAGTATTCTTTAAACTGTTTTTATCTTCAAAGAAACAACATTGTGTAAAGGTAGTCAGTTTCAAGTATGATACTACTTTTAAAAACCCTCCAATATGAGGGCAAAAAGTGAGGAGTGATTTATTTCAGTAAAAAATAGTATTTTGTATTTTTATTTTTTTGCTAAAGGAATTAGTTTTTTTCAAATTTGTGAGCTCCAGGTAAAATACTATTTAGTTCATTTGACTCATTTTACAGAAAAGCATCTCATGAAACAATGTGTACCTGTAATGAGCATAGTTATATAAGTTATCAGCATTTCTTGACTGTATAGTCATTTGTTTAAGCCTGATTATAATTCCTAACTATAAATGAATATGAGGATGCCTGGCTTTCTGTTAGTTCATCCTTATTTTTATCCACAGTTAGCATTTTGTCGATTGTTGCTCATTTCCTTTTTAATTTTTTTAAAGGGTACATATAGAAGGGACAGCAGCACAACTCTGAATAGCCCTCACAATTAACTCCTACCATTTACCTTCTACGCCTTTATTTAGTATCTGTCATGCTCAGTAATAATATATATAGGTCTAAACATAAAGAATATCAGAGAAAACCTGCATTTTAAAATGCCAATAATGGTGCCTTACTTTAGTTCAAGAGATTGCTAGTATTTTCTAATAATAAATGCTTTAAAGATATATTTTCTCAATTTTTTATTTTTAAGAAGTTAAAAATGTCACTGAAGTTAATGAAGCTAAAAAGGTCACTAATTGGACAGGTCTAGTGATAGTTTTCATGTGGAAAAATCTCTATGTATTACTTGAAATCAATATATATTATATGCATATTTGTTAATGTGTTCCAACTATGATTTTAACAACAGGCCCATGATATTAAGGAATTATTTCACCCATTACTTGAAATAACACTAAAAAGTTGGCCTTTCCAGAAGAATTTTTTAAGAAATCAGAAGTAATGACATTCTCTGTAAAAGGACCTGACATTTTACTTTAAACACGTTTTCAAGGCGAAATCACTCAGTAACTTCTTCCTGAAGAAAGTACTGGGAAAAAGTCGAATGACAGATAAAAATGAAACAATCATCTCAGCCCTTTTAGAAAGTATACAGACTAGAGAGTACCAGGGAGGGAAAACAGGCTACATTCTTTCTTTTCATGTTCATGTGGTCTAAACAAGAAGGTAATATCATGTATGGCCATTACCAAAACATTTTAAAGAACCACTTATCCAAAAACCCAAATAAAAAAAAAAATACACTTTTATCCATTTCTTTGCTTCCTATTTAAGGAATCTTTTTTTTTTTAAATCCTTACCCAAGGATATTTTTTCCATTGCTTTTCAGAGAGTGGAAGGGGAGGGAGAGAGAGAAAGAAACATCAAAGTGAGAGAGACACATGGATTGGCTGCCTCTCACACATACCCCGACTGGGGCCAGGGACCGAGCCTGCAACCTAAGTGCGTGCCCTTGGCCAGAACTGAACCTGGGACCCTTCAGTCCTCTGACCGAGGCTCTATCCACTGAGCCAAACTTGGCTTGTTGAAAATAAGCATTCAGAGATTCTTAGTTGGCCTAAACACCTCCTTCTAGCTTTTTTCTAAATAGACCCAACATAAAATTCCTGTTGTACTTTTTGGTTTAAAGAGGCATGTTCCTATACTTCTTTAAGAGATTTATGAATGAGAAACAATACAGTAATCCTTCGATATATATGGAAAAAGACGTGAATAAAGGGCAGTTTTTAGAATACCAAATTCCAGCTTACAATGAAATTTTGTCAGGGGAAAGGCCTCAAATGAAGTAAGGTCACAATTAAACTCTAAGCAGGATGGGAAATATAATGAATTATATTTTTACAAGAATCATTCAAAGAGCTAAGTAAGAGATGAGTCAAAACCAACCCCGTGAAAGCTTCATTCGGCAGCGCCGAGGAGTGAGATGGACAGTAACCCCCTCATAGCTACCTTCTTTCCTTTTTGACCAAGCAGGGAGCAAACTATTGTTGGAAACCAGACCTTGTTCTTTTTGTTTCTCTTCATAGCAGATATTATAAGTCCTTTAATGCCCAGTGCCATCTCCCCAAAATTAATTTAAAATGTTATGTGATTATAAGACTGTATATAATATTAATTCTCTAATTTACACATTTCATAGAATGAAAATTAGCAAATTACATTTGCTTATATGAAATGGGAATTCCACTTTAGAAAAAAGGTTTTAAATGTAATGTCTTATATTCTAGCTCTGACTTTATCAAGAAAATGTCAAATTTGGTGGATCAGTTAACATAGGGATTGTTATGACATTTTTTTCATTTCAAGCCTTTGGTTGCAAAACAGACTCATCTTTAAAAAATATGTTAAGCTATCCAAATGCTAATTAAACCTTAAGGTTCCTGTTGTTACCAAACAAGAGTAATATAATATCAAATCTGCATGTGACAAAACTCTTTTTTTTTTTCTTCCCCAAAATTCTCTTAATCCTAGTTAAAACTGACTTAGAGCTTTCAACCCCAGTACGTTAAGATAAACGCATTAACTATTGGACACTTCCCTTTCAAGATACTGATTTGAGCTGTGTGGCTCCCTCTACTCCATCTGTTTCCCATTAAAATCCAACCAGTACCTACATGTTAGATTTGTCTGGTGTGACCTCAAAATAAAGATTTACTAATATGTGATTTTTTTTTTTACATATTTAAAATTTCAGCATTAACCAAAGTTTTGTTTGTAGATATTTTGCTTGATACAGCTTTAAATGCTATTAAGGGCTAAGATTGATGGAAAAAATGAGAAGAGATAAGGTAATCTGGCATATTGTTGTTTTATGCATTTCAAGTGGAAACTCCAGGGTGCTTTCAGCTGTTTTATTCTCTCAGTACATCCTTAGGGCAGCGATTTTCTTTCTTTTTTCTAATCCTCACCCAAGGACATGACCCCATTGATTTTGAGAGAGAGAGAGAGAGAGAGAGAGAGAAACATCAATGTGAGACAAACACTGAGCTGCTGCCTCCCACATGCACCCCTAAGGGGATGGAACCCGTAACCTAGGTATGTGTCCTGACCAGGAATTGAA